TTTTCATTTATACCATATTTACATATACACAATCAACATGTATTTAGTCTAAAACACTAAACACTTTAATGTAAAACTGCAAATAACTAGTTATTACCAAATATCTAGTGTTTTTTAAAGTTAGAGATGGCTTTGTCAAACCTTCACAAAGTGTAATTAAAGTTAGCAAAGCAACAGAACAAAACATTGTTATTAGGTGATATCAATTTTAATAAAGTATTGCATAGTTGATGATATATCAGTTGTGGAACAATATAAACATGTCCTCGGAGTCTCAAAAATTAGAAAACCATTTACAAAAATGTTTGATACAATGTTTTTATCATGTTTTATACTTGTAAAGTTACTTTCCAGCTACTATTGCTAAGTAAGGTCGCATCAAGTTGTTAAAATAAACACCCAAAAGTAACCAGATTAACTATCAATTTTTCTTTCAGAAAATTTTTATTTAGAATATCATAAATTCAATAAATTTAACAAGTTCATAGAAAGCAATACAAATTTTATTATTTCTTTATAGCGATATTTCTCTTCGTCATTAATGTTTTGCGTGTTTTTGATTCCCTTTTATAATTTTTACACCTTCAAACATTTTAAATATAATAATATCATTGAAATATATGACTTAATCGAGTAGATATAAACGAAGTAAAAAGGTACATCTTCAAGCGCAATCACTGTATTTTCGGTATTCAGGGGCTTTCCAATATAGCGGCCGTACAAAAAAATTGGCTTCACTTTTGATACAGTCATTCTGGGTAACTTTGAATTTGCGGGTAACATTGAACTAAACGTGTAAATGTTTTTAAATTTTTTTTTCTTTGGTATTTTCTTTGCCTGTTGCTTTAACAAAGAATAATATGATGAATTATCTTTTTTTACAAAAGTTTGACCAAAGAAAATTAAATTTTATTTCTCAAAAATAATGTTTTCCTCCATTTCCAGTTACACAGTCGAATGTGGTGATAACATCGTGTGTTTTCAATTTAGAATATTTGGTATTATATTGTAATTATCTGAATAGATTTTTAAGTATTTTATTGAATTATTTTTCGAACTTTAATACAAACTCAAAATAATAGGATTTAACATGTTTTTTGCTACAAAAAGGATATTTATTTCCACTTAGCTAAAATATAACCAAATTCAGGGTAACTTTAGACAATCAATATTTTCCAAAAATGCTTTTTTTGTTGTCTGAGTAACATTGCAATAATACATAATAAATAATAGGCATCTTTTTATTATAGTATTTTTATTATATAATGATATATGATATTATAAATATTAAAAATTATAAAATATTACTAATATATTAATTTTTGGCTATCTTGATAGATTTAATAATATATTTTATTAAAAGCAAATATGCGATTAATCAAATAATTTTCATTAATAACATAAATCATCTTTATATTTTTAGCATTCATAAAATGCCAAGAAAATGTTCAACAAGTCATCCTGGCACAAGAAAATATGGCACTAAATCTAATTACACCAATTCTACACTTCAAGAGGCTTTAGCCAAAATTAAATTAGAAAAAATGTCGATTGGTGAAGCTTCTAAAATTTATAAAGTACCTAAAGCAACATTATTTTATAAGCTAAAAAATAAACACTGTAAATCAGTAGGGCGCCCTATTGCCCTTAGCATTGATGAAGAACTTTGTTTTGAAAATCACTTACTTTATTTAAGTGACAAAGGTATACCAATTGGAATTAATGATTTTAAAAGTATTGTCAAAATCTATTTGGATGATAGTGGAAAAAATATACAACAGTTTAAAGATAACCGACCAGGTTGGGAGTGATGTAAACTTTATCTTGACAGGCATCCATCATTAAAAGAAAAAGTATCTCATTGTATTTCAAGGAAACGTGCACAGATTAATTATTGTCAAATAAAATTATTTTTTCAAAATCTAGAGAAGGAATTAAATGGAGTAACGCCAGATAACATTTACAATATGGATGAAACAGGGTTTCATGATGACCCTGGAAAAAAAAAACTTATTTTTCGTCGATCCTCTCGCCATCCAGAACTTATAAGAAACACAACAAAAACTTGTTACACTGTTGTTTTTTGTGGAAATGCCTCAGGAAAACTAATTCCACCATTTTTCATTTTTAAAGGAAAACACAGTTGGTCTGACTGGCTTTTCAATGCACCAGAAGGATCAAGAATGGCAACTTCTTGCAGTGGCTGGATGGAAATTCAAATATTTGAAGAGTGGCTGTTAAATCACTTTGTTCCAAATATTATAAATAAGGAAGGTAAAAAAATTCTGATTTGCGATAATTTAAGTGCTCATATATCTTTAAAAGCCTTAAATATATGTGAAAAGTATAATATAACATTTATATGTTTGGTACCCAATTCCACACACCTTTTACAACCTTTAGATGTTGGATATTTCTCGAGTTTAAAAGCTAATTGGAGGTCAGTTCTTAATCAATGGCGTAAAACATCCAGAGGAAAAAAGGTTAATAATCTGCCAAAAAATTTAATTACGCAGCTCATTAAATCTACTCTTAATGTTGGTAAAAAAAATCTAGAACATAATCTCCAAGCAGGATTTAAGGCTACTGGCATATATCCATTTTTACCAGAACATGTTCTCTCCAAATTACCCAGTTTTACAAATATAGATATTCAACTCAATATTGGAGAATCGTTTAGGAATTATGTTGATGATATTCATCTTAATTATGAAGTAAGCAAAAAATTTAAGTTACCAATAACAGCAGGGAAAAGTGTATCAGCCACTGAGGTAGAAGCATACTATAAGGAAAGAGACAATAAAAAAAAAAGTCAAGATAATATTCGAGCAAAGAAAAGAGGATCAAATAATATGGTTATGAAAATAAACAAAAAACTTAATATTTTACAAAGTTCAAGCATTGTAAATGTTAATCAAGTTATTGAAGACGATGAACAAGTTTTACCTGTATCTCAAAATGATGCAGTTTTTTCATTGGAGCAAATAAACAATCACTATGTACATGTTTTCCTTGATCATGATTATTTTGTAAAAGAGTTAGTTGAAACTCAAGACTAAAAGAAGGAAACACTGTAATATTTAGTTTTATAGTCAATGGTGTTTATTTGTGGAGAATTATATAAAAATAATGTCTTATTTAATTTTTTCTTTTATAACCTTAAAAATTATTTTGTGAATATTTTATTGAAAAACTTGTTTGTTTATTCTCGAAATATTTTATTGAAAAACTTGTTTGTTTATTCTCGAAATATTTTATTGAAAAACTTGTTTGTTTATTCTAGAAATATTTTATTGAAAAACTTGTTTGTTTATTCTCGAAATAGTTTAACTAGATTTTTTAAAAAATTAATTTAAACTTATACAAAGAAATTTAAACAACTTTTTAGATTTAAAAGATTAAAATTGACATTCAGTTTAATAGTGTTCAAAGTTACCCGAAATGCGAGGGTAACTTTGAACGCCTACTTGAAAATTGTTTTTTTACATAATATCTAGCAAATTTAAAAAAATGATAGAAGTGTACCTAAAACAGGGTTGTCCAACGCGTGGCCCGCGGGCCACAAAGTGGCCCTCGTTGTCTTTTGCCATGGCCCGCGTTTTCAATTCTTAACTTATCAAAAACCATTCAAAACTTTTAACAAAATCAAGTGAATATTATATTTTTAAAACTATTTTTTCTGTAGCTCAGAATTAGGGCAGTTTTTTAATATAATTTTAAAAATCAGATTTTTTTAAAAATTGCAACACGGTTAAAACTACCGCCTTATTTTTTTTATAAAACCGGTTAAAACGGTATTGACTATTTGGTTAGCGGAACCATAGTTATATTGATTTTTTTTTAAATATGGCTTCTGCTAGTGCTAATAAAAGACGTAGAGCTGAAAGTGGAAGAGGAGGTCGTATATTTAACCCATCTTGGACAAATGAATATTTTGTAATGGAGCAAAATAATTCAATTATGTGTCTCATTTGTTTTGAAAAAATTGCCGTGTGCAAAATGTATAATGTTAATAGACACTATACTACAAAACATGCAGCAACTTATGATAAATTCAAGGGCCAATTTCGTGTTGATAAGGTAGAACTGCTAAAGAAAAATTTTATCGGGCAACAATCAATAATGAAAAGTAAAGTAATTAGCTCATACAGTGCTACCAAAATAAGTTTTTTAATTGCAGAAAGTATTGCAAAAGGTGGTCAACCTTTTTCTAGTGGAGATTTAATAAAAAACTCTATAAAACAATTTTGTAATGAGGTATGCCCTGAAAAAATACAATTTGCTGAAGATCTCAGTCTTTCACACCAGACAATTGCAAGAAGGGTTGAAGATCTATCAAAGAATATTGAATTAGCATTGAAAGAAAAACTATGTAAGTGTGAAGCATATAGTCTGGCACTTGATGAATCAACAGATAGAAGTGATACGGCTCAGTTAGCTATTTTTATTAGATTTATAACAAGTAATTTTGAAATAATTGAAGAACTGTTGGATTTCAGGCACATGAAAGGCACTACTAAAGGGAAAGATATTCTTTCTGAAGTCAAAAAAACAATGATAAAGTTTGATTTGCCAGAAACAAAACTCTCTGGTGTCACTACAGATGGAGCAAGTTCAATGAAAGTAAAAAATATTGGATTTGTGGCATTATTTAAGAAATCCATTAATCACAACATTCTTTCATATCACTGTATTATACATCAGGAACAGTTATGTGCAAATGTATTAGAAATGAAAGAAGTCATGGAAATTGTTATCCAAACTGTTAATTTTATAAGTCGTGGCCTTAATCACAGACAGTTCAAACAATTGCTTGAGGATTGTGGAAGTGAGGCAGAAGATGTAATTTATTTCTGCCAAGTTAGATGGCTTAGTCGAGCTGCAACTTTGAAAAGATTTTGGATATTAATACCTGAAATAATAAAGTTTCTAAAAATTAAAGATAAAGACACAAGCTTTCTTGAAAATAATGACTGGCTGAATGATTTGGCATTTTTAGTTGACATTACACAGATGTTAATGGAATTAAATATCAAGTTGCAGGGTAAAGATCAACTTATTAGTAAATTATATGAAAATGTAGAAACATTTGTTTTGAAATTGAAACTTCTCAAACAACAATTAAGTCAAAAATCACTTATCCATTTTAAAACATTGTCAGAAAGAAATACCAACACAGTTGACTATGAAAAATATTGTAATCTTATTTTAAAAGTAATTGATGAATTTGACACAAGATTTTGTGATTTTAAAGAAGAAAAGAATGAGTTAGACTTATTTTCACATCTATTTTCCATTAAAGTTGAGACAGTAAGAGATGAATTTCAAATGGAATTAATAGAACTACAAAACAATAAAGATTTGAAAGATGCTTACAAAGATGTTGAATTGTTAGAACCTTATAAAAAATACATGAACATTGAAGTTTATCCACATTTCACGCTATGAAATACTTTTCCCTTTTTGGAAGCACATACATCTGTGAACAATTTTTTTCAAGAATGAAACATGTTAAATCAGAGCAGAGACATAGGTTGAAAGATGAACACCTCACTGATACACTTCGGATTTCATCGTCCACTATAAAAGCTGACATTGATCAATTGTGTAAAAATAAACAATGCCAAGTTTCCCATTAAATACATTTTTTTTGACAATATTGAAATTGAATTAGTTGTTTTAAATTAGAAGTTTAAACAAAATGATTTTTCTTAATTTGTGGCCCTCGTGTTGTCATCAAAATAAAATAATGGCCCAGGCTGTAAAAAGGTTGGACAACCCTGACCTAAAACGTCCGTACTATCTTGGTAAACATAAACAAGGAGAAAAAAACGCTTAGGACAAGAATTCTAGAAATTAAAAAAGTTTACATAAAAGTAATGTAAAAAAGACGATGTCAGATAGAGTGGTAGTAACAGAATATAAGCAAATATAAACTAATTAGTTAAGTATTTACTAATGCTCTTGTTATTTAACTGCGTATGTAAAAGTAAATTTCAGACCGATATAATTTAAATCTGTCTGAATTATTACCTACCCCTTGTAAATCGCTCAATGTAAGATGGTCTGATCTTCATTAATGGAAAATGATTGAAATTCTATACATATAAAATAATTAATAATTAGTTGATAGTTGTATAATTTCTGTTTATACAAACTGATTAAATTAGTTTTATAATTATGTAAAGATCATTTACAAATATCTGTCTGAATTATACCCTTTCCCAGAGTAAATTACTAAACTTGCGTCTGAATTATCTCCTTCCTCCTAGTAAACCATTCAATAAAAGATGGTGCAATAATGGTATTGAGTGATGTAATAAATAGTAAACAACTATAAACTTTTAGTCATATATTAAATTGAAAATGCTTCACAAATACTTTTTTAAGTTTCTAAATTATTACGTCCCCTTAGTAAACCGTTTAATGTAAAATGGTGTGATAATGGTATAAAGTGATAATAATAGGAGTTGTGCAACTATATATTAATAAGTTAAAAAGTTATGCTGAAATGATTTACAAATATACTGTTTGAATTATCATGCCCCCCCCCCCCCATCCTTAGTAAATCATGCAATATGAGATGTATGATACTGGTATTAAATGGTATAAATTATTATTATAATTTACTGTAGTTGGGAACTTTTAGAGCTTTCGATATTTAGGTTGTTGGACTTTTTTTTTTCTATAGGAACATAGAATAAAAGTAATTTTATCTTACTTTAATTAGTATAGTTATTAGTCCAACATATCTTTATTATTTTAGCCTGATTTAAAGATATTTTACTGTTATAATAATATTTAAGTTTTTTCCAAATTTACACATATCAATATTTTGTTATGTATATATATTTTTAAATTCTATGTTTGCTATTTTTTTATTGATTTTTTTATATTTTTCTTAAAAGGATTATTTGTTTTGTGCAAATTGGAAAATGTTTCTTTGTTAAATTATTATTATTTTTTTTAGTTCATTAATGAGTTTCTGCTCTACTTCATTTTTTATGTTTAATTTGACTACTGTTGAAATATGTTTTTAATTAAGTAAATTTTCATGAATTGAAATTTACTTTATTAATCATTAGCCAACAGTGTAGGTAATAAAATTGAATTCATCACCATTAAGGTAAGAATTACTTTGTTCTCTCATAACACCATTAAACAGTTTTTTATGATTATTATCATGTCACTGCTATTTTGTGTAAAAAGATTATATTTTTCATAGCAACATTAGATTATGTTATACCTAAAGTAAAATTAGAATTTTATTAATTTTTTGTTTGCTTTTAGGTAACATTTCTTACTAATACTTCTCTCAAAAAAATTTGAATTTTTATACTTTTAGAACTAAAGTTTACTTAGTTTAAGTAGTGGTGTTGTGGTAAAGTGCTTGCCTCATAAGTCCATGGTAGTACTGCGCACAACTTGTTTCTTGACGCAGCAGCCTTGTTTGTCAAGGTTTGTGTTATTGAGAGAGGGTTGTAACCAAAATTAAAAGTTGCCTCCTTGAATGTAGTGCCCTTCATGGCCTTGGAAAGGTGAATTGATATGCAAAAAAAAAAAAAAGATAACTCATTAAATGTATAATTACTTATTTTTAAACAGGTTTTTAAACTAGGTAATTGCTGGTTACCTATTTTTAAAATCTGTTGCCAACAAAAGTTTAATAGAAAGAACTCTTTTTTTTCAACAACTTTGTTTCCAACATTGTTGCTCCAAAAAGGCTGTAAGCTATCATCATTAGAGTCAGAAGTTACTAGAAGAGAACAAATGAAGTTTATAGAGCAAGATAACGATTGACAGATGACTTAAAAGATTGCAAAATATAAAAATCCTAAAGCATTTATGTTATTGGAAAAAAACTAGATGGATGAGAGTTTTTGAAGCACTCACAGAAAAAGGATGAGGCTTAGTTGAATGACAAGTAAGATGGGAATGAATTTTACTAGATAGAACCAGTGTCGCTACCTCTTTAGAGTAGTACCCATTATAGTATTTTTTTTTTTTTTTTTTTTTTTGTTATTCACCTCCTCAAGGCCGAGAAGACCACTACAGACGA